GGCCAAAGAAGGAAGCAGCGAAAACAACTGTGAAGAGTAGGGAGTGACTGTGCATTACTTTTCCGTCTTTTCTTTTCTTTGACGCTGCTGCGAGTCTGCGCTACATACTGCAAGCAAAAGAAAAGATGCTCAGGGGGGACTGTCCCGAATATTTTTTGGCCTTTACTTCTCTTTGACTGTGCGCTAACATAGAAACAAACGCTGCCAGCAAACAGATCATAGTTACAGATGTTTTGTGATCTTATATCGACCTTTCTAAGTATGCTCAGACTAGAGATAAACAGGGAGACAGGCCTCCGGGACATCCATTAGGATTGCAACGATACAGAGAAGATCGGCATGGAATTTGTGCAAGGATGACAGGCAGAAAAAATCGAGAAGTCGTCGAAATTATTACAGAAAAACAGTGAAAGATGATCAGGGTGACGTCCGGGTGGTGGTTGTTGCGGGTAGGAAGAAAACGTACATCGATCGGTGCGGAATGAGTGTCTTCGCGACGGTTGGATCACTCAGTGGTGCAATCAATAGCTCAGAATTAAATGCTTCATCAGTCCGTCTGACGAAAAATAAGTAATCCCCGCGTTCCTCCGCAACGACATCCACACCCCGAACACGTGGAAGAAAACTGCGCAACTCCCCACATGGGTTGTGGGAGTCGATGTAGAGGGCCTCAGTAGTGATGGCACTACTGGAAATGACCGCCAAGTACTTCTCAGAATCCATTTTATCCAGAGTGAGAGAGAACTCCTCGTCCACCTCATGGTATACCTCGACGTTATCAGGTGAGTCGGTCCCAAGTGTGTACCTCCAAACCTGGAAGCCATATGATCAGATGACAAAGAAAGAGGAAAAAAAAAAAAAAAAAAAGTTAAGGTAAGGAATCCGTTAAAAAATGAGAAGAGGTTAACAGAGCCCTAAATTTTCAGGGTTTCGGATTTTCTCAGGGTCATTATAACAAACGTTCCACACCTTCTAAGCCAGACTTGTCACCAGTCCATAGAGTGGACACTAAATAAACCAACAGCCAAAACAATGGATCGAAGGGGCCTAAAACCCCAAGGCAAAAGTGTGTTTTCATGCAAAATTCGCTCTTTTCAGTTGTTCAGGATTTTCAGGATTTTCAGGGCTGGCCAAAACAGTAATCTCCAAGACCCCAACAAACACCAAACTTGGCACACGCAGACCTTGACCAAAAATAAAACAGGGCAAAAAAAAAAAAAACTAAAAAAACTATAAAAAAAAATCCCCAAATGCACTTTTCATTGTTGCAGGTGTTAACCTGGGGCTGAAAAGTGGGGGTAGGTGTTAACCACTTGTGATTGGAACGATATGGAGAAGATTAGCATGGTCCCTGTGCAAGGATGGCATGCAGAAATCGAGAAGTGGTCCATTTTTTGGCTGTGCGGTCTGTGCCACAAATCTTTCAATTTATTTTTTGTAAGAAGGTAAGGTAAGATCAGCAAAAGCAAACACTGCAAAGGTAACAATGGGGTGGCGGAAACACACACACACACACACACAC